CAGATATTATTTTATTGGTTTAGATATATGCACCACACTTTATAATCACTAAAGCTGTGATTCTCAAATTAAATTTGTTAATAAAACATTTTCCATGCTTTACACTTGTGAATTCATTGTCCATTGTTCTTTTCCTCACTTGCACGAATCATTCACGTGATCACTACTTTACACTTTACCTACATACTTTGTCTTACGCAGTGTGACGTCATAGAAATGACGTCATGTTATTTACAAAAATGCGTCATGAACAACATAGGAATTTTCCGTTTTCTAATAACAAACCTTACGAATCAATCTAATATGCATTCATCTGGAATCGAGAAGGAGTTGAACCTTCGTCGGCTTCGTGTTGCGTGGTTATAAGTTTCGCTGATGTCATCGAGATGAAATCAATTTGGATTGATGCTCTTTTTGCCTAGAATTCCTCCCAAACGATTTATTCGAACTTGATTGTTATAAGATTGTTTGGAGTTGCCTGTTCTTTTTGTCTGTCCATGAACTTTATGTAAGTGAAAAGACCTCGGCCCGAACACCGAGAAAGGTGCGTAAGGTCAAATCTGTCTGACCAGGCAGCCATTGACCAGACTATTCGTCTTTTATAGCCTAAAGTTAAACTAGAAGAACGAGCTTCGTGATTGAAAGGTATTTGGTGTGTGAAATACTAACGTGTGAAGGCCAAAGCCTTATACTAATCCTCCATAAACTAACATAAACTAACCTCTATACTAACTTAATTATAACATAATAGACTTTTAATGTGTTATTGGACGCTGAAACAACACCAGGACGCTAAAACGCAGGCCTTCTCGGAAATACCCTCTTGTGAGGGATAGAGATAGTGTGATGAACTTCAAAGCACCGAGAGTTTCATGACGGGCAACATTTCTCATGATTGATAAACAACTGCTTTATTGGCTCATTTACGGGCGACTCTTTACATCTCTATATCCCGAGAACTTGTATATCAATTGTTAATATTGACTTGGCTTTGTGCGCAACGCGCGTGTTAAACATGTAAGAACTGCCAATCTCCCGTAGACGCCCGAGTTTCACAAGTATGCCGGGGGGACGTGCGTCTCACTTTTTGTCCTCTCTTCTTTGCCTGTGCTATAGAAATGTGAACTTTTTGTCTTAGTAGTGCCTGGCAAAACATTCCTTCCTGAACGGGTAACTTGACCACTTCGCMGGCTTCTGTGAAGTGGTAAAAAGCGATCTGAATTGTTTGGGTTGGTCTTTGGAGTCTAGATAGATCAAAGCCTTSCAGGCTTAAACTTATAACGCTGAAACATAGTGTTCCTCGAGTTCTCGAGAAAATCTGGCTTCAAGGAGTCTATTTTCCTGAGGACTTGCGCTAGATGTCAATGATTGAGCTCGGATWTTTTTAGTAATAGGTTGTTTTCTTTTCAGAGAGTACGTGTAATCGATCGTCCAATATCTGATGCACAAACATAAAGACGCAAATGGTCTGTATTGCAGTGGTGCGAATCAGCGGTTGCGGTGGAAATTCTCCTTCTCATGTGACGTCTTCCTGTCAGCCATGTGGGAGAATCCATGATTTTTAGTATTACTGCGCATGATCAGTTAGTGGTTGGCTTATTACCAAATATGGGTTAATTATTGATATTTATTAGGCATCATTTTAAATGATACGTATGTAGTGTGTTTYACTGGTTTATTGATGTCATCATGAGTATCATCATCATCATCATCATTATCATCATCATAATTCCTGAAGGACTCGAATTGTTAATGACAATATACAAGTGTTAGAGTTAACTRACTAAAATGAGTCCATGTTGAAAAGCAAAAGTTTTGATTCTATATACTGTATATTTTACTATCTTTCTAATGCAACATATGGCCACAAAGACGGGTTCCCTGTGTCGACGTGTACATATAATTTGTTCAGCTCATTTCTGTATATTCGCTCCCTTGTTTTCATTGGTTGTTAATAGATCATAGCTGTCTGCACAACTGTTTCTGAAGAAAACACATAGAATCTAGGCACAAATTTTGTGAAATCAAATTTTAATGGATAAATTACTATAGTGAATTATTATTTGTGTCTTCTTTTAGCGAAGCGCACTAGAAAGTGGTGCAAGGAATTATGGGTGATTCACTCTGTAAAAGAATCTCAATTAAATGATAATTCTTCTTATTTCTAACAGCCCATTCAGCATTCCTTGCGCCACTAGCTATTGTGCCACGCATGTYAAAGACTTTTCCGAAAAGAGTTRAGATCTGTTCAGGGCAAAGTGGTCGGTGTTCTAGGTGTCCGTATTAGCAAGGTTATAGTGTGATTAAGCGTGGTTTTAGAACAATTGTATTATTTATTAAATAATTTTAAATAGCTAAGGTGAAGTTTGTTGTAAACGTTGTACTTCTAGGAATGGGACTGAGTACTATACACGGAACATTGTTCAAAGTTGAATGGGGAACGAGATGTACAAATTGTGTTAAATTAATGCTAAAAAAAATGTCTAAAAAAGATGTTTTTGCATAATAATGTATAATCAAATTCTTCACGAAAGTATATTAACGAGGTGTTTCGTTAAATGATCGAAGTTGATTCGGAAAACCGAATCTTCTTCGAAAMTATCACGAAATGTTTCGTTAATTTTCCGGAGTTTATAAGGGGCGATCTTAGAATTTTGAGGGACAGGGAAGATATTTTGTTTTACTTCAGTAACGCGCTTGTGTTTTTTGTTTTGTTTTGTTTTTTTGTAAATTTACAAAAGCTTTATATTAGTGCAGATTTTTTTATTCAAAATCTAACAACCCCTCCCACCCCCCATCTAATGGATCGGCCCTCAGTAAAACTGATATAGCTATTTCAAAAAAAAGTTGTCGGTTAATCAAAGCACTGTAACCATAGTCCTTTTCGGTCGTACAATGTCCCTTCGACAATAATCGCTGTTCGTCGTTCTCCCCGACAACGTTTTTTGAAATAGCTGTATATCCCCGAGTTTATTTCGAGATATTTCGTTAACTGTTCGATATTGCATGATAGATTTGTGTGTGATATTTGTAAATAAGGAGGCAGCTCGTGTGTCAATAGTTGTATTTATATCGATTTAATCTTGACNGGGGGGGGACTCCCTAATATCAAAGGGCGGGGGTCCTCGGCGTCCCTTTTAGGGTTTGAAATCAGTATTTTGGTCCCGCTTAGGGTGATCATGACAAGAATTCCTACCAACTGTGTTTTGTGGTCCCTTTTAGGGTATACGGCGACCCTAAGCAGTCATAAAATGGCAACGTCGTCATAAACTCAATACGAGCCGACGGTGTTCGATGATTGTGTAAAAACACAAATAAAATCGGTAAACCAAAACAAAATGACCTGTTATTGATTGGTCCCTTTTAGGGTTGAAATTTCAGCACTGCCACGCCCATCATCTCACAATAGAGGTCCCTTTTAGGGGTCATTTTCACAATCTCCGCCGAGGACCCCCGCCCTTTGATATTAGGGAGTCCCCCCCCCCCGGGATTTGATCCTTGTTCTCAATCTGCATAATTAATTAAGACCATTTAATTATGATAATTTATATTTACTCTGACAGATATTTACATAGAAAATATTTGCCCTTTAGAACAAGGTGATAACACAAAAACAGAAGATATCAGAAGATTGTTAGAGAATGGATGACGAAGAACGGTAACTGAAATTCATTTTAAACAAACTTCTTTTTTAATTTTTTTTTTCCTGAAATTTATCTTATCATGTGGAACATAAAATAGCAGTTATGTAAAAAGATAAATTTAACACTGTAAAAAAGTATGTGGAATAACTTACTGATGTTTCGGACGTTAATCCTTCGTTGGAGTAAAACATAAAGTAGTGTTGGCTAGAGCACTTCAAAAGAAAAATTATCACAATTCTTCATGTAGTGCATCAACTAAGACATTGTTTTTGTTTTAAATTATAGGAATTACTGCATTCTTGTGCTACTTCTTACCAGGGTAGGCCTGGAGAAGATGCGCAGCTTTTTCATAAAAGAATGGAATTCAGCTGGCGGTTTTGTCGCATGGACTGACTGTCCACAGAATGGTACAGACTTGTTGACAAAGTTCACACCAAAGCCTTATGAAATAAAAAAGATTAAATCTGGTGACTCAACAACATGGGATTTATCTATTTTCATCAAAGCTCTTTTGTACTCCAAACCTCCATTTGTGCCAAAATCCAATAAAGCTTTATCTGATGGCTTAAAGTGTTTGATTGATACGAGAAACACCCTTTGCCACACTGGCAGTGGAAGGATTGAATCAACAAAGTTCACCAAGCTGTATGCTGATGCCTGCAATGCACTCATYCTAGTTGGTGCTTTACAAAGTGACTTCAAGAAAGTTGAGAGAGGTATTGATWTGTTTGCTATCCACAGTATCTCTTGTTTTATCTAAAATTTACAGTATTTAACCAATAATTTGCTTCTCATATGTCAGAGTTTTTTATACTTATTTTGTGTTTTGATCATAGAAAGAAATCGAGGACGAGAACTTGTGAAACATTGATATCTAATAGTCATGAAGATGTATAGTAAATATTGTCAGTAGATACTATAAATTCATAAAAAGTGCAGGGAAAATTTTCAAAACTCTTTCACTTTATAACTATTAGTTATTTTTCTTTTCTACATCCTCATTAATCATGCTTGTGTTGATATCCAAAGTACAACAGATTTTTTTACAGTATGCAATCATGTTAAAAATGTTTTTCTACCATTTTGTTGTATATTCTTTCAGATGTGCAGCACCCTGAAGTGTTATCTCTGATAAAACATTGTGCATCACAAGATATGGATATCCTACAAGGAATTGATACAAGTAAGTACAAAAAATGGATCAGTTTGTTCTGAACATACTTTTTCTACTACAAAAAATAGTTTGTTGATACAGCAGATTTAATTTTGAATATATAATATGAAAACATAAACAATACGTGAAATGATTTATTTATTTATTTATTTTTTGGAAACAAACATTTATTACTTAACAAATAAATAAGGCTCAGCCGTGGTTTATACTCTGATAAAAGCACTCTTGGCATTTTTGAAACACACGAGAAAATGTCTGGACATTTCTGAGTGTGTTTCAAATACCAAGCGTGCGTTTATCATAGTATAAACCACAGGCTGAGACTTATTTATTTGTTTTTT